TTAATCGCACAATGTTTTGATTGTCTGCCCATGTGCGTCATAGCACGCAAGTGAAGGATATGAGGCTTATCTTATGAGCGAATGCATCTCATCATGTTCAGATCAGGGCCTCTCCTACAATACATTGGTGAATTACTATGCTTTTTTCGAGAGTGGTTTTCAAGATTAATAGGATGGAATCAGGATATCGAGTTTTCTGCTAGGTCAGGTTTTCTAATCTGACCAAGCAGAAAAGTTCTGATGTATCTGTGGATAACATGGATTGTAGTGAGGAACTACACTAAACACACAATGCATCTATATGTGAATGTTGCCAAAATCGAGCCTGTCAATACCAGGGATTTCTCTGGAATTCTCTGGACGGAGGAAGCCAACGAGTCAAACGCTCCAGAGTCAACCAGTCTCCCCCGAACACTCCAGTCGACAGTCAGCGTGAATCAAGCTTCAGCAGTCAACAGGCACGAATGGTGAGCCTGGAGTGTCGCGTTACCACTTTTGTCGTGAGTTCGAGCATTTTCTGCAGAACCTTTGGCGTAAGCGAAAGAAAATCGTCTCGCAAGAGCTCGCGGTAATCGCCGATCGCCCAGAAATCTGAGGGTGTGGATGTTCCTGTGGTCTCCTCGTGCGCTTCGGTCTTCAGCACACATAAATTGTGGTGCCACAATACTCAGCTCATCGGTCAAAATTGTTGGGAGATCCTTCTACCTTGTATCCCACCGTGTCCTGCATCAAGGTACCAGGGTTTGTTTGAACAGCTATTGCTACAGCAGCACACGTGACGAGCCTGTGAATGAGTCGCAGGACTTAGGAGATCATTTGCCGGTTCTCTCAACCGCCTGATGCATCGGCGCATGATGGCGGGTTCGCCTGGCTCGCGCCGCAAGGGCACCAATGCCCTACTCACGCTTCTCCTGCTGCTAGGCGCTGCGCTGCTCTGCTTCCCAAGCGCGACAAACGGCGCGAGGCACGCGGTGCCTAGGTCACAGGGAGTGGTAGCGAATAGCCGGACCATAGCGCACATATGGACATCAGGAAGCACGTTCCTTCGTGGCAATATCAACGCCGGCAAAAGGAGTAGCAGCACTGCAGTTGCTGCTACAACCACCGGCGCTACAACCGCCGCTGGTGGCTCCGCGGCTGCTACAACCGCCGCGACGGGCTCGGGTTGCGCGGCGTCGGCGCTGGAGGGGTTCGCGTGGTCGGCGGCGCTGGGGTCCACTGGACTCACGCTGCATTGGCGCGCAGTGGACTCGTCGCGCCTCGCCTTGGCGCTGGAAGCGGCTGGTGGCAGCGCGGCGGCGGCGGGGTGGTTCGCCGTGGGGTGGTCGGCGACGGGCCGCATGGCGGCGTCCGACGCCGTGGTGGGCAATCTGGCGGGCGGCGCCGTCCAGGCGGTGTACATGAGCGGCACGGCGCAGAGCGACGTTCAGCCCACAAGCAGCTTCGATATTGGCAACGCGCAGCTCGCCACGTCACCCTCGGGATCCACCGTTCTCAAGTACGCAACGATGGTTTTCTGAGAAATCTATATTTGCGGATTTGGAAGGAGGACTCATGGTTTAGGGTTCAGGGTGAGTGTCAGCCTTTTTTAGGGTTTGGGCTCCGGTTTGACTCTCCCACCCACACACTCATTCTCTGCTGCCATCTCTCTCCCCCCACTTCCTCCCCTCTCTCTCGTTGCAGGTTCAACCGCTCTGCAGGTGACGGCTCAGTGCCGGTGAGCGTGCAGGGCAGCAACACACTCGTGTGGGCGCACTCCCCCGATGGCTCGCAGTCGCTCGGCTTCCACGCCGGATATGAGTGAGTGCATCTCTGACAAGGATGAGGGAGTGAGTGAGTGAGTGCAGCAGTTATGCTCAGGGCATGAGTGAACTTGTGAAGGGCAAGGGTGAGTGGCTGCAGACCCTTGGCAGTACATTTCATCTCGGATTTCCTTCCAAGTTTACCCGCTGATGATTCTTTTCATGCTCCTGCTTTTCCGTTTCTCCACACTCATCCACTTCCTTTCCCACTTTGTTCCTATCACCCTTTCTCTCTCTCACTCTCACTCTCTCTCCCCTTCTCCCCCTCGCCCCTCCTCCCAGTGGCGCGCTGCAAGTGGACTTCGCGTGCTCCTCTGCCTCGTCCGGAGGGGGAGGGGGTGGCGGAACTGGTGGGGGTGCGGGAGGGGGCACTGGCGGAGGCACGGGGGGTGATTATGGGGGTGACTACAACGGGGGGAACAACGGGGGTGGTGATTACAGTGGTGGTAACGGCAGCGGTGACTATAACGGGGGGAACGGAGGAGACTATGGGGGTGGCAGTGGCGGTGGGGGCAATGGCGGCGGAGGTAACAGAGGTGGAGGCGCAGGAGGCGGAGGAAGGGGAGGCGGTGGGGGGGACTGCAGGAGAGGGCCTGGAGGCGGACAGGGGGGAGCTGGGGGCGGAATGGGGGGACCTGGGGGCAGGCAGGGCGGACCTGGAGGCGGACAGGGGGGTCTTGGCGGTGGGCAGGGTGGACCTGGTGGGGAACAGGGAGGACAAGGGGGTGGTAATGGTGGGCGGAGCAATGGCGGGGACTATGGTGTTGGTAATGGCGGTGGTGACTACAGCAATGGCGGGGGCTATAGCGGCGGTAATGGCGGGGGCAACACAGGCGGAGGTGCTGCTTACTACAGCAGTGGCTCGGGAGGAGGAGGGTCAGGTACTGCTGGTGGGGGCTGTGGGGGAGGGCAAGGGCAAGGCGGGGGACAGGGAGGCCCTGGGGCCGGGCAAGGGGGGCCTGGGGGACAGGGGGGACCTGGGAGCGGGCAAGGGGGAGCTGGAGGCGGGCAGGGCGGTCATGGGGGTAATTATGGTGGGGGCAACAATGGCGGGGACTATGGTGGTGGGAATGGCGGTGGTGACTACAGCGGGGGGAATGGAGGGGACTACAGCACTGGTGGTGACTACAGCGGGGAGAACACTGGAGGGGGCTATGGTGGCGGCAATGGTGGTGACTATAACGGAGGGAGCTACACTGGGGACTACAGTGGGGATTACAGCGGGGGGATGGGCGGCAGTCAGGGCGGCAGTCAGGGAGGCCCATCTGGGGGCGGTATGAGTGGAGGTGGAGGCATGGGCGGCGGAGGCATGGGCGGCATAGGCATGGGCGGCGGAGGCATGGGCGGCGGAGGCATGGGCGGCGGAAGCTTGGGCGGCGGAGGCATGGGCGGCGGAGGCATGGACGGCGGAGGCATGGACGGCGGAGGCATGGGCAGCGGAGGCATGGGCGGCGGAGGCATGGGCGGCGGAGGCATGGGCGGCGGAGGCATGGGCGGCGGAGGCATGGGCAGCGGAGGCATGGGCGGCGGAGGCATGGGCGGCGGAGGCATGGGCGGCGGAGGCATGGGCGGCGGAGGCATGGGCGGCGGAGGCATGGGTGGCGGAGGCATGGGAGGCGGAGGCATGGGCGGTGGAGGCATGGGCGGTGGTGCTGCTGGCGGGGGAATGGGAGGGCCTGGGGGAGTGACTGGCGGAGGAGGCATGGGGGAAGGAGGAGGCATGGGCAGTGGTGCTGCTGGTGGTGGCATGGGAGGGTCTGGGGGGATGGGCGGAGGCGGAGGAATGGGCGGTGATGGGGGGATGGGAGGAGGCGGGGGCATGGGAGGGGGCGGAGGAATGGGAGGGGGCGGAGGAATGGGAGGGGGCGGAGGAATGGGAGGGCCTGGGGGTGGCATGGGCGGAGGAGGAGGGATGAGGGGAGGGGGAGGGATGGGCGGAGGTGGAGGCATGGGGGGAGGAGGCATGGGGGGAGGAGGCATCGGGGGAGGAGGAGGCATGGGGGGAGGAGGAGGGATGGGCGGAGGTGGAGGCATGGGGGGAGGAGGCATGGGGGGAGGAGGCATGGGGGGAGGAGGCATGGGGGGAGGAGGCATGGGGGGAGGAGGCATGGGGGGAGGAGGCATGGGGGGAGGAGGCATGGGAGGGGGCAGGCCTTAGCGGTTCACAGTGGACAGGCAGGCAGGAAACCAAGTGCCTCAAGCAACTCAGTCTCAGTCAAGGCACAGAGGCGGAGAAAGCTGAGGGACAAGAAACTTGTGAAGGGAATGACCAAGGGAATGCCAATGGGAGTGATAAGGGAATGTCAAGGGCATGACCAGGGGAGGGGACTAGCCAGTGAATGGATGAGCTTTGATTCACCTCAAGCCCCATTGCACGTGCTGCTGAGGTGCATCAAAGCCCATCCTCCCACTCCATGCTTGTTTGTGATTTCTGGCTTTTTTGTTGTAGCTGGTTCTAGATCGTACTTCTATAGCTGTCTGCTTGTTCTTGAAGTGAGCAATTCATGAGTGTGCTTTTCAACAACGAAATATGCATGCACTTACTGTATAACTACCGTAAGTATACACATGGTTGAATCTCTACCTCCTCCTTGGTGATGATATGGGAAATGCGATACCGTAAGTTGCTCGCATTGCACAGAAACTGTACACGCTTCTACACTGTTCATGAATTCCTATCGTGGGTTTCAGAGCACCATAGTTAGTTACATGTACCACCTGTAACCTCCTGCAGGCACTTGTACTTGGGCCACTTGAGTCCTTTATTCCCGCAGGCTCATATTCTTGCAGCGCAGCACTCAGCACTCGGGTCACAGCCAGGCTAACTGCAGGCAGCGCATGAGACTACGTTTGGTGGTGCGCAACCACGAAAATCGCGTGCCTCATGCGCAGCATTTTATCGGCTGCAGTCACAGACAGGTCACAGCAGGAGTGACCAGCAGCAGCAGCAGCAGCTGCAAGTGCCCACACTGGAGCGAGGAGGGACCGTTTCTAAGGCTTGCCATGCCATGCCCAGTATCTTGCATCTAGTATCCCTGTTGCGTACGACTTCCTGCAGTGACCCCTTTTCGCCTTTCTCCCTCACTCGTTTCGAAATCGCACCCTCTCATTACTCCCACATCACTCATTCCCATACCTCTCACTCCCCATATCCCTCACTCCCATATCCCTATCTTGCAAGTTGTAGCAAGTATAGCTCTACCACGAGCAGCACGAGCAGCACAAGCAGCGATGATGAACAAGTTCAGTGTTAATACCACCTTTCCCAACACCACCACCACCACCACCACCACCACCACCACCACCACCACCACCACCACCACCACCACCACCACCACCACCACCACCACCACCACCACCACCACCACCACCACCACCTCCACCACCACCACCACCACCACCTCCACCACTACCACCACCACCACCACCACCACCACCGCCACCACCACCACCACCACCACCGCCACCACCACCAGCAGTGGCATTCAGGGTCGTCTCTCGTCACCACCAACATCACTAGACGGCCTGTCTCTCGTCCGGATATTCCTGAACATGCAACGGAGACATAAGGAGCCGTAACCTTCGCCAACTGGCAGGAGGGGATGGAGCTCTGCCAAGTCTCACCTGTTTAGTGCAGGAGTGGGGGTAATTCAGGGACGGGGGGGCGGAGGATTGGGTGGGGGATGTGGTGGGAGATGGGGAGTGGGAATGGATGAAATGCAATTTGGTTTGGCTAGGGATACGTGGTTGTGATGGCGGGTGGTTGGGGAGTGGGGTGGGGGGGAGAGGGGAGTCGCATGCAAAGCATGGAGGTCGGGGGTTCTTTCAACCGCTACAGCAGGTCAAGCATAGTGTATCTTGCAAGATGCAAATATGCAAGGTGGGTTGTACAATGGTTTGTGATTCCTCTGAAACCAAATGCAGAAGGATTAGCCAAAGCGCCATGATGTCTATGGTTTCATATTCTATGGATCGTCTATGCCTTGTCGCATGCTCTTCATTGTATGAATCATGTGAGGCTTCTCTACGCGGTATCAAAGCTTGCATATGCATTTGCAAATAGGTGGGAAAGTTGAGTTTGTGCTAAACAATTTCATGTGTGCGAACTGAAGTAAAAGCTTTTGTATTGAAGTGTCTATCATTTTCTTTTCTCCACTCCTATCATCCGAAGTTGAGCTTGTGAATAACCGGTATTTCTATGGGATTCACTGGACAGGAACTCCGAATGAGTGAACTCACCCAAAGTCAACGAGCCTCCTCCGCAACCTCCAGCCGACAGTCACCTAGAGCAGGTACCAACAGCATATGGGTTCCAGCATATTCACTGCTACGTAAGTCATTACTACAAGAGGCACACGACGGAGTTACCTCGAGCCACTTCGGGGCAGAGAAAACACGACAATTCCTGCAACGGTATTACTACTAGCCGTAGCTATTAACGGGCGTACAACACCATGTATAATCATGCCCCACATGCCAAGTGATGAAGTCATTACTGAAAAACAATTGGGGCAACAGCAGCCGATACCGCCGCCCGAATGTGCCTGCCCGCAAGTGACCATGGATTTCGTCACGAGGTTACCAGCACGTCCTGGTGGTAACAACGCGGTCCTGGTCTGACAAAGTTTGAAGAAAGAAAGAGGATTGAACTAGCAAGAATGAGGATACAAATAGCAAACCCTAGAAGGGTTGTACTCGCTATAGAGCACCCCACTACAGGCTAGAACAATAAGATAATATTCTGACATGGTCATCGTCGGCCGGTTGACAAAAATGGCCCATTTTGCTGCATGCAAAAAGTTCATCTCAGCCAAACAGACTGCCCGCATGTTCATAGCAGTTGTTGTTTGACTTCACAAGATATCACTAGTAGACATCAGAGATCGCGACATGAAGTTCACAAATAACTTCTTGAAAGATCTCTGAAAGCAGTTCGTCACACGCCTACAATTCAGTTCATCATATCACCTCCAGACCGATGGATAGACATAATAGACCAACCAGACTTGTCAGAAACTAAGGAGCAGGGATGATGCATTGATCAGTTATGTGGTATAAGTGCTAACCCTAATTGGGTTATACCACATATAGGCTACCCCACTACAGCCTACACAACATAAGCAGCATTATAGTTTGACACACCCCCATAGGCAAAGTGGGGGAGAACAAGGGGTCACAAGACCACTCAAGAAAAGCAAACCAAGCTCAGGGTGGATCACGAAGTCACCACACACTCTGAGCACAAGCAAGTGGCCACAAGGCCAGTCCACACGCAGAGTTATATATATGGGAACAAGCAGTATAGTAATTACAACCTAGCAATTGTAAGCATTTAGGTACAAGTATATAAATCACTGTACAAGCAAAGTCACGAAGTGAGAAAGTGAGGCAAAGTAGGCACAAGGCCTAAAACAGTAGGGAAACGCTGATGATCATGAGACTGAAGTGCCTTGGTGAATATATCAGCAGTGTTGGCCCGAGTGGCCACGTAAGCAAGACGAAGCTGACCACTCTACTGCAACTCTCGAGCAAGGAAGTAACACAGAGCGATGTGTTTCGTCTTGTGCTCCAGTCTGTGCTCCTTACACAAGGCAATCATGGCATTGTTGTCTATGTACAGAACTAGAGGAGAACTAGGCCGCTCTCCCAAGTCGGTCAATAGGTAGGTGAGCCAGCATAACTCCTGTGTAGCCATGGACCCCGCGTAGATCTCAGCCTCACAACTAGAGCTTAGAATAGAAGAGGAGCGGGTAGACCGCCAAGAAATAGAACCAGAGCCAAGGCTGAAAGTGTAACCCTGTGACGACCGCTGCGTAGCCAAGTCGTCAACTCAAGACGCGTCTGCGTGGCCAGTGAGAACAACTCGACTCCGTCCTCCAAGCACGAGCTCCATGCCCGACGTACTGCACAAGTAGCGTAACACCCTCTTAGCAGCATCCATGTGCTCTGGTCGGTGTCTCCTGGGCGCAATGTGGTGTGCCAGGATGCTGAGAGGGTAACCAAGGTCAGGTCGAGTGCAGGTCATCAGGTACATGAGGCAGCCCACAAGCTCTGGGTATGGCCCACTCAGCTCTACGGACTTGTCCAAAGGTGGAGCTGAGAGCGAGTGACTGGTAGCCAGAAGAGTGGACTGTGGCGAGGAGTACGTAAAGTTGAAGCGCTGAAGGACCTGGTGTGCCATGTGTGACTGAGTCAGGGTGATGGTGCACCGTGCTCTGTCCCGGGTGATCTGCAAGCCAAGTTAGCTGTGCAACTCACCCAGATCTATGCACGTGTGTCTTTTCTGCAGCTCCGACTTCACAAGGGCCGGTCCCTGAGTGTCAGCAGAGGCAAAGATCAAGTCGTCGATGTACACGAGGATGTAGAACGGCGGCAGCGAAGTGTCGGTGCGCAGAAACAGTGACGGGTCAACACTCAAAGGAGCAAACCCAAGAGCCGCAAGAGTTGTCCTCAGTGTGTCGTGCCACTCACGAGGCGCCTGGCAGAGACCGTAGACTGGCCGCCGGAGGCTCCACTGGGTACCCGCAAGAAACGACCTAGTGAAGCCAGGTGGGCAGCGCAGCCAGATCTCCTCGTGCAGGCTGCCATGTAAGAAAACTATGCTGAAGTCAAGAGAGTGAAGCTCATAGTCACGCTGAGCGGCGACGTGCAGCAACACTTGAAGAGTGGTCATCTTCGGGGTAGGGGAGAAGGTCTGGAAGAAGTCAACTCCCTGTCGCTGACTGAAGCCTCGTGCAACGTAACAAGCCTTGAAGACAGGCGGAAAACCCAGCGGCCACTTCACCCTGAAATCCACATGCCATTGACTGTGTTTGCCCCAGGAGGGGGAACTGCGTCAATGTAAGTGCCTGTGGACTTCCAGGATTCCATCTCTGCATCCATGGCTGTCTGCCACTGAGAGGAGTACGGACCCGTAATCGCCTCTGCGTAAGAGCGCGGGGTCAGAATGTCTTGAGCATCAAGGTCTCCCTCAGGTGCAAGCAGCATAGATACGAGATGAAGTACAGCAGCTTCAAGACACTCAAAGTCCCCCTGCTTGTCCTCAAGGACGTCTGTGCCAAGAGCACACTCACCCCCGACGGACGGAGGACAGACAGACTCAGACTCAGCAACAAGACTAGCAGCGTAGTCGAGACGACAAGCAGCAGCAGAATCAACAAGCTCGGCGACGAAGGCAGACGTAGTAGTGGACTCAAATGAAGGGTCAATGACAACAGTGGCTAGGAGACGCGTGACAGTAGGATTGGCAGCACGAACTAAGTTAGACTCAGGGTCCGGACCGTCAAGAAGAGAGGACGCAGGAGGAGATGGCAGGGGAACTCGCAGTGGAACAGAGGGAGGACGAAGTGTCATACTGTGAGTGCTGGGGACAGGAGGAGGACGCGGACGCGGAGCACAACGACCAGTGCGAATAGCGCAAACAGGCGAGGCAGGGCGAGATGCATGCTCACATCGCTCTGTAAGAGTGTGTCCGCTAAGTGCAAGTAGAAAGAGCAGGTAGTGGGGAGTGTAGCTGTAGCTGTGGCTGCGACTGGTCAGGCGGTGGACACAGCAAGGGAGGAGTAAGGCCAGTAGAAGACGGGAGACTAAGAACCTGGCGAAGCACCGAGCCAGGTGGCGGCAGAGATGACGGCGACGGCGGAACGAAAAACAGTCGCCGCTGCACAGTGCCTCCAGCACCAGTACTGACAGCTTCACCACCCCCAGCTCCAGCACCTCCAGCTCCAGCGCCTCCAGCTCCACTGACTCCAGCTCCAGCACCTCCTGCACCTCCAGCACCAGCAGCACCACCAGCTCCAATAGCTCCAGTACCTCCAGTACGAGCACCTCCAGGACCAGCAGCTCTAGCACCTCCAGCACCTCTAGCACCAGCAGCACCACCAGCTCCAGTAGCTCTAGTACCTCCAGCACCAGCAGTACCACCAGCTCCGGCAGCTCCAGTGCCTCCAGCACAAGCACCTCCAGGACCAGCAGCTCCAGCACCTGCACTACCTCCATCACGAGCACCTTCGGGACCATCAGCTCCAGCACCTCCAGTACCTCCAGTAGTAGCAGCACCACCAGCTCCGGCAGCTCCAGTGCCTCCAATACGAGCACCTCCAGGACCAGCAGCTCCAGCACCTCCAACAGCAGCAGCACCACCACCAGCTCCAGCAGCTCCAGTACGAGCACCTCCGGGATCAGCAGCTCCAGCACCTCGAGCAGCAGTAGCAGCACCACCAGCTCCAGCAGCTCCAGAAACTCCACTACCTCCAGCACCTCCAGCACTAGCAGCACCACCAGCTCTGGCAGCTCCAGCGCCACCAGCACGAGCACCCCCGGGACCAGCAGTGCCAGCACCACCAGCACCTCCACCACCAGCAGCACTAGTGCCTCCAGCGCCAGCGCCTCCAGCGGCAGGGCCTCCAGCTCCAGCAGCGCGACTCCGAAGGCGGGTGCGCCAAGCGTACCACTCGCGCAGCTGCTATGGTGAGAGAGGCTCCCGCCGGCTAGACCGCTAGGGCGAGGCACTGGTGGGACTACCAGGACTTGTAAATCCAGCACCTCTAGTACCTCCAGTACCAGCAGTACCTCTAGCACCTTCACGACTAGCAGCTCCAGATCCTCCAGCTCCAGCACCGCCACTCTAAAGGCTCCAGCGCCGAGCAAACCACTCACGCAACTGCTGTGGTGAGAGAGGCTCCCGTAGTGTAGACGCAGGACCCCTAGGATTGGCACTCCCAGACTCAGCACCCCCAAGCTCCCCACGCTCAGGCTTAGCACCCCAAAGCTCCAAACCCGCAGGCTCAGCACCCCCAGGCTCCGCACGCTCAGACTCAGCAGCAGCAAGCTCATCACCCCCAGACGCAGCACCCCGAGCAGCACCAGAGTCACTGGCTACCTCGACAGGCTCAACCAAGGGGATTGGGTACACCTGAGACCTAAAGGAGCAGGACCCTCAGGGGGGAGGGGGTCTACTGGAGGAGGACCTCGAGCAAGGAAGAGCGGCGGGGGGGGGGGGGAGAGGGGCAGTGCGATAGGGGAAGGGACGGTAAAAGGGAACCGACTCGTCG